CCCTGTTCCCTATTTTAAAAATCCTACCTGCCTTGCACAGTACTGTGACTGGCTATTTTCCCTAAGGTGATGAGGAAGCATGTTTTTGTGGTAGATTTCCTTGCAAGTTACAAATAAAAAGTAGCTGAAAGATATGTGTTCTGGATTCACTAGTAATTTATTCTTATGATGTTAAGGGTGATAAATAGCTAGGAAAAAACCCCGCAACGGTGTCAATTCTATTGTATCGTCTCGTAATCCAAGGCAATGTTTAGCAAGTTCCTACACATTTGTGGGCTATTTTATATCTCTAGTTTCCAGTGCATTTGTTTATTTCATAGAAGGGCAGCAAAAGTGCGTAAGGTCAGTGATATATTCTGTCCCATCTATTCTTCTTGATGCAGAAAGCTGTCCATCTTACCTCAAAGTCCCTTTGAAAGCGTTCGGTATTTCACAATAAGATCGTTTTAATTGCATTGGCAGCCATTCACTACCCATGCCTAGATTTCTTAAATGGCTCTCTGCTTCACCTTCATAGATGGAATCATGCCCTTGGGTGCAGAGCTCAACTGTGGTGCTCAGGACTGAGAAAGGGGAGCAGAGGATGGCACAGAAAGGCTTCTCTGCTTGTTTTGGGCCCCAGTGTAACACTGTAACCTAGTTTGTCAAACTCCAGTTTGACAGCCTGTAGGAGGTTTAACACAAGTGTTCCTTAACACACAAGTTTACAGCTCTGTCCTTTAGTTACTTTGGTACACTCAGACTCAGTATTCAAAGATTTTTTAAACTCTGTTCTTACTATGAATCTGCTGGGAGTGTTGCTACTTGCCTGTGTTTCTCATGTGTGCCAAAGGAGATGCCATAAACTCTCATGTATCTTTACTTCAGTAATCAGCACCTCAGAAGAGGAGCTGTGGGGATTCTTCCTGCTAAAAAAAATGATTTAACTTGCTGGGCAGCAGTAGTAGCCACGAGATGTCCATACTGCCCTCTTTCTCTCTGCAACCATGTCTAAGTTTGGAGACGTACACATGGAATCCCTTGGATCCACATCCTTCTTGCACGTGTAGCCCAATTTCCATGAGCTTGTACATGTTAAATGTGCTTCTACTTGAAGGAAGCAAAATGCATGTGTCTATTTCTGCTTGAAAATCAGAGAAATATTTCTAGTAGATAACCTAAAAGAAAGCTTGTGAAATATAAAATGATCTACTATTGTCAATATTAAACAAATATAATCAGATCACTAAATCTGGTACTAATCAGAGTTATTTTGTATTTAGAAAGACCGTACTTGTCTGCATTATGCTGTGAGAAAACGGTTTACCTTCCTTGACTATGTGCTTATCATAATCCTCATGCCAGTTATGCTTATTGGATATCTTCTTATGGTGAGTCTGGATGAAAACAGGAAAGACCCTGTACCATTTCCTTTCCTCTTATCACCTTTCTCATGGCAGTATTTCAGGCCAGGAACCTGTACAGAATAAGGACTGCCTTTTTAAGGACTGATGAAGAACAACAGAAAAAGCAGGGATTTAGCTGTGAATATAGCTGGTGAAGGAACAGAATTGTATCACTGCATCAGTCTGGCATTTGCAGAAGCCAGATACTCTTCTTTTTGGAAAAACCACAGTATTTAGCATAAAAATCTACTTAGTACTATATGCAGATGAACTGTCTTACTGTGTTACTCTGTCCCTTGCACCAAACAGGTCTCAAAGACTAAACAGAATGAAAACCTGATCATGATGTTGCTTAGAGCTGGAGCTGATGTTAATGCTACAGACTTTGTAAGTAGGTTTATACAAATGCAAATGTGGCTCGTATGCATGCAACAATACAAAAACAGACTTCAGAATTTTCTAGCAATGTAGTCCTGCTTTCAGAGTAGGATCAGGGACTGAACTGGCTGTGATGTACCAAGAGGATTCAGTGTTTCTCCTTAACACTTAGGCAATAGTTCTGTAATCTACACAGAAATAATTCTGCACTGATCAACTAATTCTCCTTTTCTGACCAATGCCTTCTTAAGAGAAACCAGGCAAGCTGGGTTGAGATACTCACGTATTAAATACCTAATCATATACAGATTCTAGAGATATAAGGGTCTGAGTTTATCACCATTTATGAGTTCTTGGACTGGAGCAGATTTGTGAGCAAAGGTCATGCCACAGTGCTAGACCCTGGGTCTTCTCTCAGTCTTCAGGTTGTGCTGACCTGCCATATGTAGAGTTCTGTATCCACTAGCCGGCTTGGGTGTGGTAAAAAGCTCCTCTACTCTAACGTAGAAAAGGAGAACCCCCAATTTTAGCAGCAACCAAATTCTAAAATACTGAAGTGTGAGCAAACAGTATTGCTTAAGACATAGTTGCTGAGATTAAGATCATGGAATCCTCTGAAATTAGTAAAGAACTACTGACTTCCTTTTGAAGGTGTATCATCAGACCTGTTTTAGCAGCTGCATAAGAAATAATAGAACAACCCAATCTGCTTCTGTTTCCCTTCAGTCTGGTCGCACAGCCCTTCACTATGCTTGTGAAATGAAAAACCAGGCAGTCATTCCTCTACTGCTTGCAGCTCACGCAGACACTTCTGTAAAGAATCAGGTAAGAAGGTAAAGTTAATAATTGTATTTCCTTGTCATGATGGCAAACCAGTATGTAGTAGGCCTTAGCTGGTGTGCAGCAGTTTAAAAAAAGGGTGCACAACTTCCTGGCAGCAGACTTGTTTGCTGTGGGGTATAAAGCCATGTTGGCTCCATTGCCTTTGCTGGCAAGAGAAACTTTAAAGTCCAAATCTTTCACTGCTGGATTTCTACCAGTAAACACTGCCTGCATGTCCACTGGATTGGCAGATCTCTTAGCTATCTATATGGTACCTCCTCTTAACTCAGAGCCGCCCTACAGTTGTTCCTAAGATGCAGCCTGCAGAGGAGCGGTAAGAGCCTTCCTAGGCACTTTTCGTGCCACTGGACACCATTCTTCTGAGAGGGGCTAAGTCAAGCTGCTTCTGTCATCTGAAAAGCTCAAATGTTGTCCAAATAAATACTGACCTGGGAGGATCTGCGTTACTGAGTTGAGGTGAGCAATGTATTGCCCATATTGCTCTTAGCTTAGCTCTGCACTGACTTTTGACATGAGCCCCAGGAAACAGTGGAACAGCTGTCACTTCTGGAGGGAAGGGGAGGGCACTGCCCCTGGCTTCGGTGACGGTAGTGTTAGACTCAGCATATTCTGAAACCTTAGCTTTAGAGCAAGGACATGACAGGGAAACTTACACAGGAGCGCACTGCATATGGGTGGCAAATTCAGGAAAGCTCTTTGTACTTGATCCATATCTATCATATTGCAATGTATTTAATCTGTTTCTTTCAGGATGGAGAGACTCCCTTAGATATAGCAAGAAGATTGCAGTTCCACAACATTGAAAGTATGCTAAGGAAAACTTCCTAGTCATCAAGGACTTCTGAACATGCAGAAAATTACCTCATCTGACAATCCATCTTGCACTGCAGCAGGAGTCCTGCAGAGGGTTGAGGCCTGTTACTTGATAAAGACTTGGTCCAAATCCACCCATTCTTCGCTACAGACTTTGACTATTTTGTGTGAGACAGCACCCCTAAGGCCATGTGGGCTGAAAGGAGTTAATTTGATTTTACTAAGCCATGAATTCTTACAATAGTGTTCAAAATACTGCCCTTTCCATCTCCTTCCTCAGTGTTATTACTTGACTTGCGCAGACTGTGGATTTTGAAAGCTAGCTATAATATTTCTGGAAGCCTAAAAATTGCACATGATGGTTGGCAGCCAATGTAAAAACAAAGTATCCTTTAGAGTGTCTGTACTTGTTCCATAGGGGACACACTTGACAGCTGAACAGTATACCACAGCAGTTTATACAAAGTCTGGTACCCTTCCTCTCACTATTTCTCTTCCTGCAATGAGAGTGACTGGGAAAATAGATGTCTCAGCTTAGCACTTCCTCCTTCCGTCCCTGCTACAAGTTTCATGCACCTTAATTCTCACTGTGTTGCTACAAGGGAAGGATTATCTTCTATTTTTTTCTTATATGAAACAGCAAAAAAAGATTCAGTGAGTTGCTGGAGACCACAAAGAAAGCAATTTCCCAGATGGCTTTAACGCGTTAAGAAATAATCATGAAAATATGTTTGGCACAGTAGAGAAGCAAGTCTCTTGACTACCTTTCTAATACAAACAGTGTACTAATGAAAAAATAAATAAATAAATGAAATGCTGTTGATGGAAACCAGATGTATCCTTCCCATGAGACTGGACAGAATAGCATGCTTTTCAAAGTGGTGCATGCAGCAGGGGATGCATATACCAAAATAATAATAAATTAATAAGTCTTCTCTTGCATAGGTGAAGGCAGAAGAAAAACCTGCAGTGATAAGCAATGTATTAATGTGGCCTGGTACTTGTGATTTAATAATGCAGGAATAAAGGGGAATCTCCTTTCAAATGCTGCCGTATCTTGCTTTCTTGGTCTAATGGATCTTATTTTTGTTGACCGTTTTGGATGTCTCCTGTAAGCTGTCATAAGTTCAGAAGATAGATGCCATGATCAGCACTGCTAGTGGCTGCTAGACTAGGTGCATGGACAAACTAGTGTATTTTTCTTGTATTGCTGAACACATATCTTTCTGTGTAACTATGCTATTGGATGTTGACTCCAACTACAAAGGGTCTTGGTTGGGCAATATGAGTTTGAGGTCCCACCCAGAAATACCCTGGGAAACAAAGCTACCCTGTCTGAGACTCTAATAGTGAACACTTTGAGTGTAACCTGGGGACAGACACTCTTACCTAACAGATCAGCTTGTAGGTGAGTAGATGTGAGGCACTTGCATGGGTAATGAAGATACTATCTCTTTGGGCTAATGGCTGGAAAGAGAAAACATCTGACTGCTTTCCCATGCTGTAGAAATTGCTTGAACAAAGAATGGTCAAGATACAGTTATGTAAAACTCAAAGCTGGTAGCTCAGAGTGCTTGCAACAACTTCATTGTCAGTCTCAAGAATAATTCATGGCGTGGAAACTGTATTGATTAGCGTGCTGCTTCCCTGATGGTCTACATCTCCTCATTCCTCAGCTGCCATCCATGGTGTTTGAAGTTGGGGGGTTTAGAGTGCGTGAAAAAATCTTGGGGTGATGTGTAGGCATGGAGGGCAGGAGAATACTTCTGTGAGTTTTTCAGAGGTTGAATTCCTTGATGTTTGGAAGTCATCTATTGCCTGCTCAGTTTCTTGTGTTTGAAGATCTGTTGGTTGTGTTGACACTGTAGGTAAATGTGAGGAGGGAAAAAGAAAAAAAATACCCAAGTTCTCTGTCAAGTGGATAAGTGATTTAATTTAAACAAAGATCAGTTGTACTTCAACAGGCAAATGAGCAAATTCCAATTTTGGGTCTTCATGGGAAGACACAAATAGGGCACAGGAATGACTCT